TCGATGGTATTTTCTAATTCTGTGAAGTATGTCATGGGGATTTTGACTGGGATTGCATTGAATCTATATATTGCTTTTGGTGGGATGTTCATTTTTACAATATTAATTCTTCCAGTCCATGAGCATGGGAAGTCCTTCCATCTCCTGGTGTCTTCCTCAATCTTTCTTTAAAGATTCAAAATTTTCACTGTAGAGATCTTCGGTGTCTTTGGTCAGGTTTATTCCAGGATATCCTTTTTTTGCAGCTATTGTGAGTGGAAGCATTTCCCTGTACTCTTTCTCCAATTGCTTATTATTGGTATATAGAAAGGCTACTGGTTTTTGTCGATTGATTTTATAACCTGCCACTATACGGAAAGTATTGATAAGTTCTAGGAGTTTCCTGATAGAACATTTAGGATCTCATAGGTATAATATTATATCATCTGCAAAAAGTGATATCTTGACCTCTTCTTTTCCAATTAGTGCTCCTTTAATTTATTTTCCTTGTCTAATTGCTCTAGCAAGAGTTTCAAGCACTATGTTGAAAAGGAGCTGAAATAGTGGACATCTTTCTCTGGTTCCTGATTTTAGTGGGAAAGCTTCCAGTCTTTCTCCATTTAGAATGATGTTGGCTGTGGTTTTATTGTATATAGCTTTAATTATGTTAAAGGATGTTCCCTCCAGTCTAATTCCCTTTTTAATCTTTATCATGAATGCATGTTGAATTCATGAATGCATGAATTTGTTGAATTTTCTGCATCTATAGAGATGACAATGTGGTTTTTGTCTGAGTCCATTTATATGATTAATGACGTTTATTGACTTGTGTATATTGAACCATCCCTGTATCTCTGGAATAAAGCCTACTTGATCATGGTGAATGATCTTTTTGATGAGCATCTGTATGTAGTTTGTTGAGAATTTTTGCATCTATGATCATTAAGGATATGGGTTTACATTTTTCTTTTTTGGTTGTGTCTTTGTCTCTTTTGGATATGAGAGTGATGTTGGCTTCATAGAAGGAATTTGGGAGTTTTCCCTCTGTTTCTATTGTTTTGAATAATTTAAGTAAAATTTGGAGGTCTTCTTTAAATGTCTGGTAGAATTATGATGTAATTCCATGTGGGCCTGGGCTTTTTTTTAGTTGGGAGGCTTTGGCTTACTATTCCAATTTGCTTATATGTTATGGGTTAGTTTAAACTGGTAATCTCTTTTTGATTTAACTTTGGTGGTTCCCATGATTTCAGATGTCCATCCATTTCTTTTAGATTTTCAAATTTAGTAGAGTATAGGTTTCTAAAATATACCCTTATAATGTTCTGTATATTTTGGGTGTCTGTTGTGATGTTTCCCCTTTCATATCTGATTTTGTTGGATTTGTTCTTTCTTTCTTTTGGTTAACTAGGCTAAGGGTCTATCTTGTTTAGCTTTCCAAAGAACCAGCTCTTAGATTCATTGATTCTCTGTATTGTTTTCTTTGTGTCTATTTCATTGATTTCTGCTTTCATTTTTATTTCTTCTCTTCTGCTGGGTTTACGTTTAATTTGTTCTTGCCTTTCCAGTGTCTTTAGTTGCAATGTTAGGTCATTTATTTGGGTTCTTGCTAATTTTTTAATGTAGGCACTTAGAGCTATAAACTTCTCTCTTAGGACTGCTTTTAAAGTGTCCCAGAGGTTTTGTTGTATTGTCCTTTTTGTTGAATTCCAGGAATACTTTTATTTCTTTCTTAATTTCTCCTTTGACTCACTCATTGTTTAGGAGTGTGTTGTTTAAGCACTATGAGTTCATGTAGTGACTAGGGCTTCTTCCCGTGTTGATTTTGAGCTTTATTGCATTGTGGTGTGATAGAATGCATTGGATTATTTTTTATAGTTTTGTATTTGTTGACATTTGTTTTGTGCCCTAGTGTGTGGTCAATTTTTGAAAAAGTTCCATGGGGTGCTGAGTAGAAAGTGTATTCTTTGGTGCTTGGGTGGAATATTCAAAAGATGTCTGCTAGGTCTGTTTGATGTATGGTATTGTTTAATTCAAATGTCTCTGTGCTTATTCTTTTTCCAGTTGACCTGTCTAATGGAGACAGTGGGGTATTGAAGTCACCTACTATTACTGAATTTGGGTTAATCTGTATCTTAAAGTCCTGTAGTGTTGTTTTCAGGAACTTGGGTGCACCAGAGTTTGGTGCATATATGTTCAGGATTGTAATATCTTCTTGGTTAATTGTTCCTTTCATCAGAATGAAGTGACCCTCCTTATCTCTTCTGATTAGTTTTACTTTGAAGTCCTTTTTGTCAGATATTAGAATTGAAACACCTGCTTGCTTCTTAGTGCCATTTGCTTGGAATACTTTTCCATCCTTTCGCCTTAAGGTAGTGCCTGCCCTTGATGTTGAGATGGGTTTCTTGCAGACAGCAAAAAAGTTGGATTTCTATTCTTAATCTATTTACTTAGCCTGCATCTTTTGACTGAGAAGTTCAGTCCACTGATATTTAAAGTTATTATTATTGAAAGATGTGTATTGGTTTGCCATCAATTTTGGTTGCTGTTTGCATTCTTTGTCTAACATTGTGTTTCCTCAATTATACCTTTATTTTCTTTCATTTCCCCTGGGATATAGTTGTCTCTCTCTCCACTCTTTTTATTGCTTCAAGTATTCTTTGAAGGGCTGCTTTCATGGACATGTATTCTTTCAGGCTATTCGTGTGATGGAAGATTTTTCTTTCCCCCTAAATTGCAATAGACATGTTTTCTGGGTAGAGTATTCTGGGATGGCACCTATTGTCATTTGGAACTGGAAATACCTTGGTACAGTCTCTTCTGGGTTTCATAGTTTGCACTGATAAGTCAGCTGTAATTCTGATGGGCTTTCCTTTATATGTGACTTATTTTTCTTTTGCTGCTTTCAGTATTCTCTCTTTGTTCTGTACATTTAGTGTTTTTACTATGATATGCCATGGGGAGTTTCTTTTCTGGTTCTATTTGGTATTCTATGTGCCTCTTGTATTTGTATGGGGATGTCTTTCTTTAATTTTGGGACATTCTCTTCTACAATCCTGTTTAAGATCTGATCAATACCATTAACCTGAATTTCTTCTCCTTCCTCTATGGCTGTGATCTATAGATTTGGTCTTTTCATGGTATCCCACATCTCTTGCATATTCCATTCCTGTGTTTTTAATTTTTTTAAAATAATCTTTGAGTGGTCCAATTCTTCAACTTGATCCTCCAATGTTAATATTGTTTTCCTTTTCATTCCTTCTAGCGGTGAGGCTTTCCCCTGTTGTTTCAAGTTGACTTATTGAATTTTTCACTTCCTCATTTCTGCCTGCATTTTCTTCAATGCTTCTATCTTTTTTTGTGAATTCATTCAGAAGTTTATCCCTTTCTTCTTTTAGTTCTGTTTGTTCGTGTGCTCTTTAAATTCGTTGAATTCTTTGATCATGTTTATGATTGTTCTTGTAAATTCTGTACCCTGTGTTATCTCTAGGGGGTTCTCCTTGTAGAACTCTTCCACAGGACTGGTTGAGTTTGGTAGGGATATAGTGTTTTGGCTTTCCATTTTATTATTCTTTCGTTATGATTTTGCTATGTGAATTTCTTTTGTTGTTTGTGATTCTGATATGAAAATTAAGTTGAAGTTTGCTTCTGTTTGTATTTCTGGTGTGCCTCAGTCCTTTTCTTATTGGTTATGTAAACTGGTTGGTTCAGGTTTCAGGTTCTCTCAGGTTTTATGTTGGAGTGAACTGATGGCTTCCGATTAGCTACTCAGGAGCTCCCACAAAAGCCTAAATCAGGTTCCAGTCAGGTATACTCAGGCTTCCTTCTAAGGTTTGAACCCCTACTAGTGGGAACTCAGGGAAAAACCAGGGAAGTTCCCTAAGGTAGGGCCAATTTTGGAACTCTCAGGCAATCTGCTGAGTTCTCAGCCCCTATGCCATAGAGAGGACAGAACAGACACTCTGGAGGTCTGCTGACATCTCAGCTTTATCCCACCAAATTCTGTCCAGGGGCCTTGGGAGGGGCCTCACGTAGTCCCAGTTTGGGGTTTGTATATGTGATTTAGGGATGCTCACCACCCTGTGGGGGTAGGATCCAGGTGCTCTCAGGGGGGTTCCCTGAGTTCTCAGCCCCTATGCCAGAGAGAGGCTGGAACAGACACTCTGGAGGTCTGCTGAGATCTCAGCTTTATCCTACGAAATCCCTGCCCAGGGACCTGGGGGCGGGGGGCTCACGTGGTCCCAGTTAGCGAGATTTGGGGAAGCTCACCACCATGTGGGGACAGGATCCAGGCAGTCTCTGGCAGGTCCCCTGAGTTCTCAGCTCCAATGCAGAGGGAGGCTGGAACAGGCACTCTGGAGGTCTACTGAGATCTCAGTTTTATCCTACCAAACCTCTGCCAGGGGCCTTAGGAGGGGCTCATGTAGTCTCAGTTAGGGGGTTGGGTACTGCAAGATTTGGGGAAGCTCACCACCACGTGTGGGCAGGATGCAGGCCCTCTCAGGCAGGTCCCCTGAGTTCTCAGGCCCTGTGCCAGAGGGAGGCCAGAACAGGCACTCTGGCAGTCTGCTGAGATTTCAACTTTATCCTACTAAATGCATGCCTATTTTTTTGTTGCATTTCTATTTTAGAGTTTACATTCCTAGATACCTGGGATCAAGTCTGACACATTTGTACACATCTGAAAACATCTCATTATATGATAGATAGTTAGATAGATGATAGATAGATAGACAGATAGATAGATTCAATAAACCTTTATGATATTATAATCTTAAGAACTAATTACTAAATTATAACCTGAACAATTTTCTACTTTGACAGGAGTTGGCTGCCTGCGAAGGCTTGGTAGATGAGGTGACTTTAACAGAAATGGGTAAGATGTATTTTGTCATTTTTAGAGCAAGTAAAAACATGATTGTACATACACGGCTTGATACTTAGGTATGTGGAAGCTGCTGTCTCTATTACACAAAATTGATGCCATTAATAATACATTTACAGGACACAAATGTGATAGACTTTTCAATGTTCTACTATATTTTTCTATTTTCCCCATTTTTAACATGAAATTGATATAAAGTAGTTCATATCTTTACAGATGCAATAGATTTCAACTGCATTTCAAAATGGAGAACAAGAAGTATTATTGGTCAAAGTATTTTAACATGTAGTACACTGGTAGGAATTGAGATGGTAAAATTGAGAAAACTAAACTGATTTTGTATTTAATAACTATGAATACTAATGAATAGTTGGAAATTTATCATGAGTTCAACCTTTTTACAGAGTAAAAATAGTTAAAAGATGATGAAAGTGCATAACACCACAAATGGTAAAAAAACAGAGTGTTGGTTATATATTAAACAATACAAGAGTACAGTGTAGGATAGCCATTTCCTTAGTTGAATTTTTGTGAATTTCATTCGATATATTTTGATCATATTTAGATCTGCACTCGCTTACTATCCCCCCCCATATAAATGAAAGTATATAGAATCAAATGTGTGTCCCCCAAATGCCCTTTGGTGTGGGTTCATCCATTGGGAAAGTTGAATATTTCAGATTGCATGTAACAAACTAAGAAACTTTCACCAAATATTTTCTTCCATTCTATGGAGTTTTTTACTTCCTTGATGTTGTGCTATTCTGTTGAAGTTTACTTTCTTTCTTTTGCTGCCCATGCTTTTCTTGTTAGCTATATCTAAGAAATGATTGACACATGGAATTTCTTGAAGAATTCTTGTTTTGTTGTTGTTGTTAATTTTTTGACAGTGCCTCTCTTTAGCTCCAGTCTGGCCTTGAATTCACAGAGATCTGCCTGCCTTTGAGTACTAGGATCAAAAGTGTATACCACATGTCTTGCTCCTTGTATCTTTTTAGAAGTGTTTCATAGTTTTAGCATCTACACTGAGGTTTTTAATCTATCTCAAGTTAGGTGCTGAAATGTTGTGAAGGGTCCAACTTTGTTATTTTATATGTGGACACTTAGTTTTTACAGCATGATTTTTGGAAAAGATAATCCTTTACCCAATGAACTGTTTTAGCATGCTGGTCAGAAATAACCAGACAAGTTTATGGATATTTATTTTAAGGCTCTGGCTCTATTTTCTTGTTATATATATCAGGCATCTTTCCTGTATTATGCTGCTTTAATTACTGTAACAATATAATTCATTTTGAATCAGGAAATATGGACACTCTCACTTTATTCTGCTTTAAGGGTGGTTTGAATATTTAGGGTTCTTGCAAATCTGTCTGAATTTAAAGAAAAGGATAATGAACTATTAATTGACTATACTGAATATCCAAATAATTTCTGCTAGCATCACCATCCTAACAATATTAAATCTTCCTATCCATAAACACAGTAGTCCTTCCATTCAATTTTATTCTTTAATGGGTCAGTAGCATAGACAGGTTGGATAGATGCCTACTCAAATGTAGTAAAGGCCCCGCTTTTATTTGCAACCTTAATATTTGCATCCTCTCTTCATTTTCAATCTAGCCATTGATTTTGCTGGCATTTCCAAATAATGAACTTTTTGTTTTATTAATTTTTCTCCATTTTATTCTGTTCCATTTATTTCTGCTGAATTTTATTGCTTTCCATCTGCAACCTCTGGGGCTTACCTTGCTTTTCTTTTTCTACTTCCTTAAGGCATAGATTAACTTCTCGTTCGAGATTTTTTTTCCAATCTTAATAATATTTAGACCCCCTCCCTCCCCTATCTGCACCCCCCATAGCCCACCCACTGGATTTCATGCATTTTGTCATATATATTAAGGCCTATCAAATCAAGTTTTGGCCCCCAGATGTCCCTCAGTGTGTGTTCATCCACTGGAGCCTGTTTGTCTTTCGACAATATAGGAATTTATGGCTACTACAATTCCCTTGTGAGCATTGCTGTCACTGCATTCAGTAAGCTTCTGTTTGTGGTATTTTAATTTTAAGTCATTTCTCATGATTTTATAGTGTGTCTTATGATTTAGTTCTTCTTCCTGAAGAGTTATTTATAGCACACCACTAGTTACAACAAAATTCCATCTTGACTAATTTTAACTGTTCTAGAACAGTAATACTTATTTTCTATTGATTGATGGACTGTTATGTTCAGAATTGAACACTGGTTCTCTTACATGACTAGAAAGTGCTCTATTGTTAACATTTCAGCTCTTTGATTTCTTTTGCATTTGATAGTTATTTGTGATGTTTTAATTTTCATATATTTCTGAATTTATACAATCTTTACACCTATGAATTTCTAGTTTTATGAATTTGTGATTGGAAGACATACTGTGCATGATTTGACTCTTTAAACTTATCAAGACTTGGTATGCAGACCAACACATATCCTATCCTGGAGAAAGCTCTTTTGACAGTTGATAAAAAAAATACTGCTTTCTTCAAGCACATTGTTTTATGTATGTGTTATGCCCAGTTGTTCTCTAGTGTTGTTCAAGTAATCATTGACCTTATTTATCTTCTGTTTTATTGGTATATACATTATTGAAAGTGGG